TTATTATAAAGTAAATAATATTGTACGAAGAAGCTCATGGCAATAATTAAAATTGTGCGTACCCGTTAACAAAACTTTGTAAAATACATTTTTCAAAGTTGATGTCAATTGCCTAAAGACTCTTCCTGCATCACCACCTTTCAAGCTGTGTGCTTCATCAACAACCATTACTTCCCACATATCAACTTTTGAGAGAATTCTAGAACGAAACAGAACAGTCTCTGGGGTAGTTATTAACACATGACACTTTAATGAAGAATCGCCTGGAAACATTTCAAATTTTTCGACAACCTCGCAGGACTCTCTATCGCCATGAAATTCAACTACAACTAAATTAGGTGCCCATCGCTTAAATTCGCGAGACCAGCCCGCTGTCGTAGATTTTGGCGCAACAATAATAAATGGGTAACAATGGCGATCCTTGAACAATATATTAAGAAATACGATAATTTGAATAGTTTTCCCTAATATTTATTGAAAAAATTGAAAAATTAATATATACATAAATTCCATGCAAATTTATAAATGCATATAACGTTAAATGTATAAAATATGATCTTACCTAGCCCCATTTCATCTGCAAGAACACAAGAAGTCTCTAGACTCCAATTGTGCAGTAACCAGCTATATTAATATATTAAATTTTTTATTAACTGTCTAAAACCCATAAATCACAACACAGAGAAAAATAAAATAAAACTTACTTTACGCCATCCAACTGATAATCCATTAATTTGTTCTGATATTTTGGATTATTTGACAACCATGAAGGTTGTTTCTTTATCTCTTGAAATGACCTATCTACAAACCGATCCATCACGCCAATTTTGTAAGCCTTGCGGCGAATTTTTAAGGCTTTAGAAAACTTTTTCTCGTCCAAATCGGATATGTCCTCCCATGTAGCTATGTCAAAGAAAAGTAGTAATAGGATAAGCATCACAAAATAGAAAGAGTTAAATATGTATGAACAAATAAAAAGACTCACATTCAATATATCTAAGACCTTTCCATTTTATATATGCTCTTTTCATTGTTTCTACGCCCGATCCGCCTCTTTTGGATG